CCCCCCCGGCGCCCCGCTCCCCCGCCGCCCGGCTCTCACTTGGTGAAGTTGGCCAGGTTCTGGATGACCTTGGCGATGAGGGTGAGGGTGCGGGCGGTCTGCTCGTCGGGGTACTCCTGCATCAGGCCGAAGAGGCTGGGGGACATGACGGCGGGGCAGAGGAAGCGCAGGAAGAGCGACGCGCTGATCAGCCGGTCCGCGATGTCCTCCCTGCCGCGCTCGGCGCAGCGCAGCCGCCACGAGGCGAAGACCTCCTTCAGCTCCCGGGGGAACACGCTGCCGCGGGGCAGGGGCGCTCAGCTCCGCGCTTCGGGGCCGGTCCCATCCGCTACGGGGCGCCCCCACAGCCCCCAGCGGCCCCGCGGGGCTCACCAGTGCGAGTTGACCACCTTGCAGAGCGCGAGCTCGCAGCACATGCGCAGGTTGGCCTGGTGGTCGGCCAGCGTGGAGGCCGAGCACTTCATGGGGTCCACCTCGCAGTTCTCCTCCGACTCGTACAGCGCACGGATGAACTCACCTGGGGGGCGGCGGCGGCGGGGGGTCACCCCACATCCCGCGTTGCACGGGTGCAGCACCAATGGGAATGGGGTCAGGAGAAGGGATCGTCGTGGGACCACCGCCCAACCCCCCATGGCCACGTGTGGGGGCAGCCCACCACCCCACGGCCATATGTGAGGACAGCCCACCTCCACAAAGCCATGTGTGGGGGCAGCCCACCACCCCACGGCCGTGTCAATGGGGCCCGGATCCCATCCGCCCCCCCAGCGCTCACCGATGGCATCCTTGAGGTATTTCTGGCCGATGAGTTTCAGGTACTCCTCTATGGCTTTCGTGGCGAGGGTGTTTTCCCGGAAGATGAGGTGCTCCCGGTCCATGAAGCGATCCACCTCCGTCATGGCCATGTCCGACAGGAAGTCCTGCCCACAGCCATCAGGGCAGCCCAGCGCCCGCGCCCAGCCCTCCCTCCCTGCACCCAACAGCCAAGCCCTCCACAGCCATCCTTCTGTGCTCTGACCCTCATCCATCCATCCATCCATCCATCCATCCATCCATCCATCCATCCATCCATCCTCCATATTTCCATCCATCTTCCATCCACCCATCCATCCATCCATCCACCAATCCATCCATCCATCTTCCATCCATCCATCCATCCATCCATCCACCCACCCACCCACCCATCCATCCTCCGTATTTCCATCCATCATCCATCCCTTCTCCATCCTTTCTTCATCTGTCCATCATCCATCTTCCCGTATTTCCATCCACCATCCATCCCTCTTCCATCTTCCCATCCCTCCTCCATCCATCTCCATATTTCCATTCTCCACTCTTCCATCCTTCATCCATTCCTCTTCCATATTTCCATCCATCCTTAATCCCTCCATCCATCCTTCCTCCATCCCTCTTCTATCTTTCCATCCACCATTCATCCCTCCTCCATTCTTCCATCCCCCATCCATCCATCCCTCCTCCATCTTTCCATCCATCCTTAATCGCTCCTCCATCCATTCTCCATCCATCCCTCCTCCATCTTTCCATCCAATCTCCACCCCTCCTCTGTCCATCCCTCCTTCATTCACCCCCCTCTTTCCATCCATCCATCCTCCATCCATCCCTCCTCTATCTTTCCATCCAATCTCCATCCCTCCTCCATCTTTCCAACCAATCCCCATCCATCCATCCATCCTCCATCCATCCTCCATCCATCCTCCATCATCCATCCATCCATCCATCCATCCATTCATCCATCCATCCTCCTTCTTTCCAACCAATCCCCATCCATCCTCCATCCATCCTCCATTCTCCATCCCTCCATCCATCCTCCATCCATCCTCCACCCCTCCTCCATCCATCCATCCTCCATCCATCCACCCATCCATCCATCCCCCATCCATCCTCCATCCATCCATCCTCCATCCATCCCTCCATCCATTCTCCATCCCTCCATCCCTCCATCCACCCATCCTCCACCCATCCACCCCTCCTCCACCCCTCCTCCACCCTTCCAACCCCCTCAATCCCCCCACAGCCCCCCGCACCCCTCCCCTCGCCGCCCCACCTTGGCCTTCCCGGTGCTCTGCAGGATGTGCACCAAGGCGCAGGCCACCTCCTCCTTGCTCTTGACGCTGAGCACGGGCTCGAGGACGGCGCAGAGCATGCGGTAGTTGTTGGTGACGTACTCGGCGAACTCCTTGTACAGCTCCATGGGGAGGATGCTCATGGTCTGGAAGCGGCTCTTGACGCGCAGCGCCGGGCAGCCCGCCTTGCTCTTGCTGCCGCTGGGCTGGCTGAGCGGGTACCACTGCTCGGCGAAGTGCCGCCCGGTGACGCTGGCGATGGGGATGCTGACCATCCCCACGTAGTTGCTCTTGTCCTTCTTGCGCTTCTTGTCCGTGTCCTTGTAGAGGTGCAGGCGGATGGTGCGCACGGCCGGCAGGTTGTTGAACTCGAAGTGCTCCCCCCAGAAGACGTTGTCGGTGCGCGCCTTGCTGGTGGTGCGGGCGTACAGCATGTCGTCCAGGCACAGCTCGCAGTAGTAGCGCTTCTTGGGGGGCAGATCCCGCGCCTCGATCACCCACAGCTTCAGCACGTTGTCCACCCGCCGGCTGTTGTCCTGGGGGGGGAAGGGCGCCGTCACGGGGCACCTCAGGCACCGGGGGACCCACGGGGGGGGACGTGGGGGTCTCCACCAGCCGGCCGTCCCACCAGTCAGCCCTCCCATCCCCACCAGTTGAGCCTCCCCATCCCACCAGTCAGCCATCCCACCGGTTGACCCTCTCCATCTCCATCCCCACCAGTTGGCCCTCCTCATCCCCACCAGTTGCTCATCCCCACCAGTTGGTCATCCCCACCAGTTGACCAACCCCACCAATTGACCATCACCATCCACACCAGTTGACCATCACCATCCCCACCAGTTGACCCTCCCCATCCCACCAGTTGGTCATCCCAGTGGTTGACCCTCTCCATCTCCATCCCCACCAGTTGACCATCACCATCCCCACCAGTTCACCCTCCCCATCCCCACCAGTTGGTCATCCCATCAGTTGGTCATTCCCACCAGTTGACTCTCCCATCCCCACCAGTTGACCTTCCCATTCCCATCTCCACCAGTCGGCCATCCCACCAGTTGAATCTCTCCATCCCCATCCCCACCAGTCAACCCTCCCATCCCCACTGGTTGGCCGACCCCACCAGTTGACCCT